AGCCCCTGACTGCTAACCAGAAGGCTGGCAGTTGAAACCCACCAGCCACTCCTTGGAAGGGAGATTGAGCAATCTACTTCCGTAGATATACCTCCTCTGAAACCCAAGGAGGAATCGCTGTGAGTTGGGATCAACTTGACAGCAGTGAGGTTTTTTTTTTAAAAAATATATTTATAAGTGCAAAGATTATTTGAAATACACACTTTGTTCAGATATAAGCCACATGGTAATACTTTCAGAACAGGGAAAAAGAAATAGCACAGAAGAGATGTTTCTTTCTTTCATAAAAGGGTAAAAGTTATTATTTTTCTTTTTGACTGTGTGTGTATGTATATAATTAAAAAATATTTTTAATAGGGAATCATGGCAGCTGGTGAGGACAAGACAAATTTTATGTTGGAGGCATGTGAAGAATTAAAGAACAAGGAAGGAAATAAGGTGAAAAGGAAAATTACTAAATATTAAATCAAATTATATTGTTTAATTTTACACTGAGACATGCTTTATTTGTATGTTTGTCCAGCACTACCTTGAATTTGGGAGAATATACACTTTTGCAAACTTTTTAACTTCTGTTATTTTATTCAAGCCTTACAAGAAGAATCATCTCTCTATTCTTTCTGTTACAATGCTTGAAACATTGGCTGCTTTCTCATTCTCTGCCTTATTTCTTTGATTTCCACCAAAAAATTAAGAGCTTTTTTAGCCATTTCTGGTCAGGCCTCAACAAGAAATGGAGGCCTAAATCCCTTACTCAAGGTCATATGTCTGATGTGTAAAGGAAGCTTTCTATGATAGTAATCACAGCTAATTTTTTTTTTTTTTTTAACTGCCTCACAGTAACATAGGAGCTCTGGTAGCATAGTGCCTAAGGCACTTGACTGCTAACTGGAAGGCTGGCAGTTCAAACCCACCAGCCACTCCTCGGAAGGAAGGTTGGGCAATCTACTTCAGTAGTGATATTGCCTGGGAAACCCAGGGAGGGATTGCTATGAGTCGGTTCCGACTTGATGGCACATAACAACAACAACAACAACAACAACAACAACATCACAGTAATTTATATCTACAATTAAAGCATGATTTAAAAGTCACTTCGTTGTCACAAATGACTAGGAAAGGGGTTGATAGAGTTCTGAAGATTCAGAAGGTCTGGGTCTTAATCCTTGCTCTGCTATTAAAATTTCTTTGACTTTGGTCTAGTGCAAGTCATTTCTTTGTTTCTATAATGAGATAATAATGTTTGGCAGTGTTACAAGAAGTGGCAGGTGATGGTGTAAAACATTCAACGAATATATATGTGATATTTATTCTGTGAAAATATCTCATGGTTTTCTTTGTCTTGCTCACATTGAGAGAAATGTAGCTTCTTTAATTTATTCAGAAAAATAAATTCTGGAGTAATATAGTTTTTTGTAACATTTGTTATTTTTTTAGAGCTTAACTGATGAAATTATCAGGCAAAATACTAGGCTGGAGAATGCGATCCACAAGCTTGAAGCTGAATTAAAAGTGACCACCAGGGACTTACAGGTACTCCTTTAGTTATTTTATAGATCACATTTGATTTTCAGAAATCACCTGATTTTCAGAAAAAGCAATTTTATGATACAAAAGTCACTTTTTTCGAAACAATGTAGTCATTTGTAATAGCACCAAACTGAAAACAGTGCAAAGTTCAAGGAGTGTAGAATGAAAAATTCAATTAGGGTATCTTCACACAGTGGAATGCTACACAGCAATAAGAATGGACAAATTATAACTACATGTAATGCTATGTATGAATCTCACAAACAGGGTTGTCTTAGTCTCTTAGGTTGCCATAACAAAGTACTACAAACTGAATGGCTTGAAAAGTAGAAATGTGTTCTCAGATTTTGGAAGCTAGAAGTCTGAGATCAAGGTGTAGGCAAGGTTGGTTCCTTGTGGGGGTCTCTGAGGGTGAGTCTGTACCAGGTCTCTCTCCTAGCTTCCCATGGTTTCCCACAGTCTTTGGAGTTCCTTGGCTCATGGAGGCATCCAGTCTTTGCCTTTGATGGCTAATATCCCTCTGTGTGCCTCTCTGTGTGTTCACATGGCATCCTCCTCTTAGAAGGACACCAGTCATACTGGATGACGATTCGCCCTACTCCAGTATGACTTCATGTTAACTACATCTACAAAGATGCTATTGCCAAATAAGATTTCAGTTGTAGGTACCAGGGGTTAGGACTTGAACATAGCTTTATGGGGACACAGATCAACCCATAACAATGATGTTGAGCCAAAAAGAACAAAGAGTGCAGAGTGCATGCCTTATGCGTCTATTTAGAAAAGCATAAAAGTAGGATAGTTGGTTAGGATAGTGGGTTTCTGCTGCCTTGGAGGTGACTAAAAACTGGAAGGGAACATGAGGGGTTGGTCCTATGCTGTTTCTTGATTTGGGTGCTGTCCACATGTGTATGTTTGCTTTGCAAACTATCATCTTGCTGAACATGTATGATATCTTCACTTTTCTATAGTTACATATAACTCAATTAAGTTTTCAACAAAAGAAGCCCATTTTCAATTACTTTTGTTTTAAATTCTTAGTTTTCTTACTAAGTCGTTTTGTTATTTTCCTCATCTAAGGGGATACAGATGTTTAAATGAGTTTCACACTTTAAAAAATTAGACGTATATTAAGCATTACCATTTAAATTTTTCTCCTAAATTTTCCTGTATTTGGAGTAGTTATAACTTTCATCTTTTTTTTAAACACTTTTTGTTGTAATTTGAGTAAAAGTTTATAGAGCAAATTAGTTTTCCATTCAACATTTCAATTTTGTATTGTGGTATCGATTGCAGTCCCCACAATGTAACAGCACTCTTCCGGCATGCTCCCTGTGTTTATTGTTTCCTTTCGTCCTTCTTTCCTATCTCTTTCTGCCTCGTGAACTTTATCCCTGGGCAAATGCTGCCCATTTTATCTCATATGGTTGATTTTTCTAAGGAGTGCATAACTCCTTGGTGTTCTTGTTTACCTTATAGGCCTGTCGTTTGGTTGAAAGTTGAGCCATGGAGTGAGTTCTATTCCAGATTTGATAGGTGCCTAAGGACCATAGTCTCAAACGTTCCGCTAGTCTCTGTTAGACCAATGAGCCTGGTCTTTTTTAGTATTTTGAGTTTTGTTCCATATATTTCTCCCACTCTATCTAGGATCTCTTACTGTGATCCCTTTCGGAGTGGTCAGCAGTGGTACCATCTAATTCTTCTGGTATCAGAGCCCTGAAGGCTGGGGTTCATGTGGTCCATTAGTCCTTTATGTTTCCTTGTGTCTTTAAATTTCTTCTTCTTTGCTCTGGATGGTGAGAGATCACCCCTTTTTTTTCTTCTCAACCACTTATATTGGTTAAAAATGAACTTTTTTAACAGTTCAAGTGTTTAAAGCACTGTCACTTCTGTTTCTTAAATGGGGATAGGATGTTGAATATCAAAAAGTGGACTCACTATATTTGAGATGAGGTGACATTGAGTAGAAGACTTGCTATGATTCTGGTTACTTCTTAGGCTGGGGCTTGAATTGTTTACCTACAAGGGCCTTTAGAAAACAGCCAGCCTAGTTAACCTGCTTTACAGAGGACAGAAACAATGATCCAGGGAGTTTAAGTGAATTTTTGTCTGACACCGTAATCTGGACTAGAATTCAGGCTTTCTTCCACCAGCTCCAGAAGATGCCTGACTGAAGATTTTTTCACATTACTGAGAAATACCCTGCTTTTTTTCTCCAGACAGTACAGACTGTTACAGTAAAATGAGTGTTATGGTACTCAGAAATTCTACCAAAGTTACATATCGAGATAATAGAATAAATAAGATTAGATCAAATGATTTAAGCAGTATTTCTAATCGCTTTGGGACAATACCTTTTATTTCAGCATGGAAAATTACCATGGTGCAGTGTAGTGAGTTACATGGTTTAGCTTTTCTAGCCATAGGCTTTGTTACTCCCACTACATTACTGGATGGGATCATGTGTAAACTTGGCTGGACAGCTGGTAGTAGTTATTTCCTATGATGAGACTGGCATTAACTCTGTGGTGAAATTTGCTGTGAACAACTGATCAGCTACTTGTTAAAGTCATCCACCTGGAGTATGTTGGAGCAGCATGAAGTAATCTTCTGGGAAAGTTCACTCTCTCTCTCAGGTGTGGAGAACTATGATGTTGGGATCTGTTAGTTTTGCCACTCTGCTTAAAATAAGCCCTCCTAGAGGCAGAGGGAGAATCTCACTGCTGGCAGAGAGAGGCGCCCAGCTGAGAGAGATGCCAGGCTGAGAGAGACGCCTGGCTAGGAGGTATGCCTAGCTGAGAAAGCCACCCAGTTGAGAGAGACAGCGGCAGTGAAACCAAGAGGCATGAGACAGAATGGCAGGCTTACCTGGCGCACAGCAGCAGAAGCCAGGCCAAGAGGCCAAGGATCAGAGAGGTGTGTCTAAGGGCGTAGCAGAGGGGAGACTGTCCTGATCAAAGAACTGTATCCTGAATGTGTTCCAGAACTTGAATTGTAGCCTGTTGCTTCCCTAATAAACCCTATAATCTGTGAGTTCCATGTGCCCACCGCAGCGAATTATTGAACCCAGCAGAGAGGTGGTGGGTGCCATGGAAAAGACAGTTAGTGTCAAGGTTGGTAAGAGGGTTGGAGGGTGTCAATGTGTCTGGCCTCATAGGAACAGGTATTGGGCTGCTGATGGTGATTCTGTCTTCCTCTTGTGTAATTAGAGGCAGTCAAAAGATGCTGCCTTCCTGCCCCTTTAGCACATGGGAAATAGAAATGCAAAAACCTGATTCATTTGTGTGTGGTGCTATGTATCTAAGGATTTTAAGTGACTAAATATAACCATTAACTTTATCCTCCAGGTTGTAATTCTTGTTGATAGTGTTCCTTCACTTTTGTTACTAAAGAAGTTGTGATAATGGTTAAGAAATTGTTGGATAGGTATCGGGGAAGGTAGAATTGAAGTTTGATAAGTATTAAATAATAAAATTCAGGAGTATTTTATTTGGATTAAAATTTCTGAATTTGCTATCAAAATAACCTTAGCATACACCTGACTGTATTTCATACCTCTATCTCAGTGAGGTTAAATATACTGTCTAATGACTTTTTTTGCAAAATAACCTGTAGCTGACCCAGTTGTTTAAAAGATACTTATCTACATGACTGAGGTAGGCTTTAAATCAAATATCCTGCAATATGGACCAGTTTAAACATTGATTAGAAAAAGTGGAAGAACTATATACTTATAATTACATCTCTGAAATAATATTAAAGGATCAGTGTTTGATTACATTAGTAATCAAGACTACATTAGTAGTCCTATCTGGGAAGAAGCAATTGTTAAAAGATATTAAATAAGACCACACTAAGTATTTTATGGGGTTCTATAATCAGTGGAGAATTAATTATTGGATGATCAAATCACATTATCCTTGGAAGGACTTAAGTTATTTCTTGTCTTGATTTTAATCAAACATTTCTGTTTGAATTAGATTAAAGATGATATTCCTGGAACAAAGATGAAATTCACACCCATGGAGAATCCAGAGAATGACAGCCAGTTTTTAAATATTTCCTATTCATTTCAAGTGAACTTACAAATTCCTTATGAATTACAGAAAGGACAAGCACTCATCACCTTTGAAAAAGAAGAAGGTATGATTAATGTTCAAAAATAGGATCACATTACACTTGGAAAATAATTGGGCTTTCGAAGTGTTTTCATGGATATTTAGCTGTTGCTTTACATTTTTTACATTCATTGTTTTATTTCATCCTCATGGTGATACCCTGAGGAGGGTTTGATTATCCCCATTTTATAAATTAGAAAAGTGTGACTGAGATGTTAAATGACTTTAATATGATCCCTCATTCAGAAAGTGATTACTCTGGGACTCAAACTCAAATGGTGTGATGTTCCACATCACACCATTCTTTCTGCTCCACGCACTGCCTCTTTAATGATGATAGTAGTAATAGTAAGAATATCCTAGGTTAGTAGCACTCTACATAGTTCTCACAGTGTTTTCAGACATTATTTGATTCTAATCTCACACAGCTATATGAAAACGATAAGATATAAGGTAGGAGTTATTGGATTTTGTAGTCAAGAAAGCAGATTCTTAGGAAGTTTAAGTGATTTCCCTGTGGGTATATGACCAGTGAAAAGGGTTTGGGAGTCAGATTTGGGATGGGACCTGATAGTCACTAAGTCCGCTATGGGTGTAGGGCCCTGCTCAGAGCTGGGGGTGCTTCAGTGAGGAGAGTCTGATTTTGCATATCAGCTCTTCCCCTTTCTAGAAGTGTGATTTGTGGTGAGTTTTTTAACCACACTATAAATCTCAGATTTGTAAACAGCCTTTTTTGGTAGTACCTACCTTGGGGGTAGGGCTACTTTCAGTATTAAATGAGAAATGTTTATAAACTGCTTAGCACACCTAATGAATGTTCGCTGTTATTGCTACATGGTAGGAATTTCCAGATAAGGGAATACAGCCTTAAAGAAGATAAGTAACTGGCTCAAGGTCTATACAGTTAACAAATTGTAGAGCTGAAAGCCATGCCCTGAGTGCCCATGTACTTTCCACTGGGCCAACATCCCTCCAAGCAGGCCATCATCTGGGGCCTTCATCCCATATTTGTCCAGTTATGGAGTGTGACCAGATGATCTTCAGAAGCCCTACCTATGCCCAGATTCTGGTAGTATGTGACTTTAGCTCATGTCTTTTGATACCACTATAGCCTGAAAATAATTGTTAAAAAGAAAGGCATTCCCACTGGTCACTTGATGTACATCCAAGCATATATGTGCCCAGTGTGCTTTTGTTCAACCCTGGGCCTTCCCCTGCAACTGAGAGTGGAGGGAGTAGGCTAAAAGCTACATTGGCTGTTGGCAGTGTTAATCAGGATATTACTGAAAGACGTAATTAAAGATTGAGGAGGCAGGGACTTTGCACAAGTATTGCTTGGGAATGCTGGGAAAAGGATTGAGATTCTCTTCAAAAATAGTGACATCACAGGCTCCACCCTTAGTATGGCTTCCAGGTCTTACTCTCCTGAGACAGCTAGGTTCTGTTTCATTAAACAGCAGTTAGCTTTGACAAGAGTCAGTCATGAAAGTTGAAACACAAGCGGTCTGCTCTGCTGCGTCAGATCACCAGATGCTGGGGTTTTTGGGGAGTGGGAGGAAAAGAACATCATCTGAATATTACTGTATTGACGTTTTCTGTTATTGTTGCCTATTGTCATGAGCCAAAAAAGAAATCCAAGTTACAGAGTCATATGGTAGTACATTGAGTCTTAATTCTCACATGATGACACCCTGCCTTCTAGCCTAGTTTTTTCCGTCTTCCAGCTGTGGTGTACTATCTGGTTGTCAAAAACACATGTGAAGTTTATAAGACAGGAAGTGAACATCTCTTATCTCTATGGTAAATTAGAATAAGCAGCCCCAAATATTAACAACAAAGTATTATGAACTCTTATGTCACAATTAAAAATAAATTACATACTCACATACATTTAATTTATTTAAACAGTGTTGCTAAGAATATACATACTCTATAATCCAGCAATTCTACTCCTAGGGATATTCTCAAGATTAATAATTTTTGGAATGATTGTCTCTCAGAGCCTCTTCTATTTGCAGGCATAAATTAGACTTGATTGCTTTGTATATCAGGGCTATCAACTTTTTAAATGGTCTCAAGAACATTTTAGCAAGAGTGGAAATTCTCATTAAATGTGGAAAAAAAAGACTCACTCTTTTGATATGCAAGCCTGTATGGTCTTTAATATATAATCCCTGAGAAGACACTCCAGAGCTCTGGCAGTGCTGGTTAAAGCACTCAGCTGCTAACTAAAAGATTGGTGGTTCAAAACCACCAGCTGTTTCATGGAAGAAAGATGTGGCAGTCTGCTTCCGTAAAGATTTATGGCTGTGGAAACCCTATGGGGCAGTTCAACTCTGTCCTACAGGGTTGCTGTGAGTTCAGTTGATTCGATGGTAGTGGGTTTGATTTGCTTTGGGAAGACAGACAAAGAAATATTTATTTCTATTGTGCTTATGTTAAGGAAAGGACCTCTGGTGGCTCAATGCCTAAGGCATTTGACTGCTAACCAGAAAGATAGTGGTTCAAATCTACCAGCTGCTCTACAGAAGGAAGATGGGGCGATCTACTTCCATAAATATTTACTGCCTTGGAAACACAATGAGGGTTGCTCTGAGTCGGAACTGACTTGATGGCAGTGAGTTTGGTTTTTTTTTTTTTTTGGTTTTATATTAAGGAGGAGTAACAGATGATAAATAAAATTAAGATTAATTGGAAGAATAACACTGACCTAGAAAGTTTTTCCAGCTTATTCAACATTGAAGAATTTCTGAGTGTGCTTTAATATAGTAGAATTCTCTGGTAATGCTGTCAGCAGTGGAAAGGAAGAGAGAGTGGCTAGATTGAAATAATATAAGAATTTCTGGAGTGTTATTAAACTTATCTCTTCTTCTATTAAGAACAACCCAGTTGTTCTTAAGGAGGGTGTTGTTTGCTTTCCATGTATTTGCTCTTTTTCCGCTGATCTTCCTATTGTTGATTTCTAATTTTATAGCATTGTGATCTAAGAAGATGCTTTGTAGTATTTCAATGCTTTTACATTTATTAAGGCTTGCTTTATGGCCAAACATGTGGTCTATCATGGAGAATGTTCCATGTGCACTGAAAAGAATGTATATTGTGTTGTTGTTGGGTGAAGTGCTTGGTAGATGGCTATAATGTCAAGTATTGTTAAGTTCTTCTGCATCTCTGTTGAGTTTCTTTCCAGTTGTTCTATCTTTCATTGAAAGTGGTGTATTAAAGTCTCCTGCGATGACTGTGGAGTCATCTGTTTGCGTTTTCAATTCTGTTAAAGTCTGATTTATGTATTTTGGGGCTCTTTCATTGGCTCCATAGATATTTATTATGATTATATCTTCTTGTTCAATTGATCCTTTAATTATTATATAATGTTCTTCCTTGTCTCTTACAGTGGTTTTGTCTTAAAGTCAATTTTATCAGAAATTAATATTGCCACTCCTGCTTTTTTTGTTGCCATTTGCTTGGTATATCTTTTTCCAACCTTTGATTTTTAGTCTATTTTTGTCTTTGTTTCTAAGGTGTGTCTCTTGTAGACAGCATATTGATGGATTATGTTTTCTTAACCAGTCTGCAATTCTCCGTCTCTTGAGTGGTACATTTCATCCATTGATAATCAGTGTAATTATTGACAAGTATGAATTTGTTACTATCATTTTGTTATGTGTTTTTTCATGATGTTACTGGTTTCTTTGTTCCATATAATTTTCTGTGCTGAGCTTATTGTGTTTATGAATCATGTTATCATTTCCTTTGTTGCTCTTGTTTTAGTATTTGCTAAATATTTGTGCTTGTCCTCACTTTTATTGTGATGTGAAGGTTTATCATTTTTCTTTGAGGTTACCTTGTGATTTATAATTTTCTCCCCAAGTTAAGAACAGTCCATTCTATCTTGCAACTCTCTTGACTTCTTCACCATTTAGAAGTTCTGTAACTACACAGTATTTTCCCTCTTTTTGGTTTGTAGTTGTCATCATTTGCCAGTTGAAGTCTCTGGTTCCCTGTTTACAATCTTGTAAGCTTATTTTACTTTGGATTCTTCCGTAACTAGGTTGGTTTCTGGGTTATGTCATTATATATATTAATGGTCGGTTGTTGTTTGCTGTTATTGGTTGTCTGTTCAAAGGACTCCCTTTAGTTTCTCTTGTGAGGTTGGTCTGGTTTTAAAAAATTCCCTTAATTTTTGCTTATCTGGAAATCTGCTAATTTCACCATATTTGAGGGACAGTTTTGCTAGGTATATAATTCTTGGTTGGAAATTTTTCTCTTTCAGGGTTTTATATATACCATCCCATTGCCTTCTCACCTGTTTGGTTTCTGCTGAGATTTCAGAGCTTAGTCTTACAAAGGTTGCCCTTTGTAGGTAACTTTTTGTTTTTCCTATGCTGCTTTCAGGATTCTATCCTTGTCTTTGGTTTTGGTGAGTTTGATGATGATATATCTGGCATAGTGCCTAAGGCATTTGACTGCTAACCAGAAGGCTGGTAGTTCAAACCCACCAGCCACTCCTTAGAAGGAAGACTGGGCAATCTGCTTCTGTAAAGATACCACCTCAGAAACCCAAGGAGGAGTTGTTGTGAGTCAGATTCAACTCAATGACAGTGAGGTTTTTTTTTTATGTCTTGGTGATTTTCTTTTGGGGTCTATCCTGTTTGGGGTTTGTTGCCTTCCTGAATGGATGGATATATTCTCATCTTTTATCATATAAGGGAAGTTCACTTCCAACAAATCTTGCACAATTTTCTCTGTGATTTTATTTTTCTCTTCCTGTTCTGGAATTACGATTACACGTGGGTTATTTCTTTTGATGGTATCCCACATGAATCTTAGACTTTCTTCATTTTGTTTTCATCTTTTTTCTGATTGATCCCTTTCCAAGGAAGTATTCATGTATTTGCCTTTAACCTCAGTAATTCTGTCTTCCATTGATTCGATTCTACTCCTTTGCCCTTTCAATGTGCTATTTCTGAAAATTTAGTATTTATCTTCTGAATTTCTGTGTGTAGATTTTGTATCATTTCTAATTTTTCATTTATTTTGTCATTTTGCTCTTGTATTTTCTTTCAAAATTATTCTAGGGTTTTGTCTATGTTTTTCTTACTTTTTTCAGTGTTTTCTTTGATCTCTCAGTCAGTTGAAGGTACCTAAGTACAATTCTTTTGAGTTCCTTATCAGGGAGTTCCAATGTTACTTCTTCCTCAGGGGTGTGTTCTGGGTCTGTATCCTGCTTGCTTGTTTCTACCGCTTTATCTTGCTTCTTTGTGTGGACTGTGATGGTCTGTTGTCTCCAAGACATTGTGACTTTGCTGTATTTATATTTAATTGGTGATTGTATGTTGGAATGATTCACCCAAGAGTTTAATGGTTTTTTTTTTTTTTTTTTTTTTTTTTTTTTTTTTTTTTTATGTATCTGAGTAAGCATGGCACTGTGTGCCTCTGTTCACTAGTTGGCAGCACTTACTCACTTACCACTTGCCTCCTGGTGGCTGTGATAGATTATGAGAGTGGCTACACAGAACTCTGTTAACTGTTTGTGGAGAGCAGTTAAGGATGAGTCAGGCTCTTATTGATTGTTGTATATTGTTGCCCAGTTGGTGCAGAGGGAAGTGGTGGCTCTCACCAGCAAGTGGAACTTATTCTTAGGTCCCTGGAAACTGAGAGAATGCTGTCTCTTTAAATATCCAAAAATAGTCAAACCGCTTGTAAATGTTCAAAATGGCTGTGCTCTCCTGAGAGCCAGAAGTCCACAGCTCAGCCCATCTCCCTCTTTGCCGCTTTCCCTTTTATTCACCAGCCACCAGAGCAGTCCTCTCCCAGCCCCTGGCCAGCAGGGCCGGTATTTAGGTTAATTGTTAGGTCCTAACACAACTTGGCAATATCCAAGCTGTTTGTGCTGTCAGGACTGCTGAAAGTCCACAGCTCTGTATGTCTCCCTTTTTGGTATTTTCATGCAGGTTCTTCTAGTAGTTGGAGTTTAGTCCACTTCTGTATCCTTCCTTTCAAAGCTCAGGGCTCCAGGATTATCTTCTGTTATCTGTGTTATTTGGATCCCCTTTTCTTTGTTGAAGTGGGTCTATGTAGTTTGTCTGCCTGTTGCACCATCTTACTGGACCTCCTATTAAGCTTATCTCTTAAAAGATGAATCTGTAACTTGATGTGAATTTCTACTTTTATTGTTTTTTTGCTGCTATCAACTATGTTGATATTAATATATCCTATACTCACTGTCTTTGAGTCGGATATGACTCATAGCAACCCCTCCTTGGATTTCCAAGGTGGTATCACTACGGAAGTAGATTGCCCAACCTTCCTCCCGAGGAGTGGCTGGGGGCTTTGAACCTCCAGTGTTCTGGTTAGCAGTCAGATGCCTTAGGCACTATGCCAGCAGAGCTCCCAATATATCCTGTGGCAGCATGACTGTTATCACTTGGAAATTCTAAGAAAAATTTGAAAATGAGATCCTTTAATTAATAAAGGAAATCTAAAAGACACAGCATAATTTTTTCTGAAATCAAAAGCATAAAATCTTGGAATATTTGACATTAATACTTTTCAAACTGATTTCAGTGGCCCAAAATGTGATAAGAATGGGAGAACATCATGTGCAGATAGAAGATAGAGATGTGAAGATTATGGCTCAGCCTGTTGCATTAGACTCAGGAATCAGATTCCAGGTAACATGGTATTTTGTATTGATTTGTGTCCCCCAGAAATGTATATTGTAAATGCTAAACTCTATACTTGTGGTTATATTCCCATCTGGGAATGGACTGACTGTCTTTGTTATGTTAATGAGCCAGGATTAGTGTATGGTGTGTCTTGAGTCAGTCTCTCCTAAGACATAAAAAGAACAGTTTAAGCAAGCAGAGATGGGGAAAGAGATGCCAAGCCACATGGAGATCTCCAAGGAACCAAGAAAGTAGCTGAAGGGATAAGAACCTTCCCTCCTACAGCCAACAGAGAGAGAAAATCTTTCCTACTGGCACCTTCAATTCAGACTTCTGGCCTCCTAAGCTGTGAGAAAACAAATTTCTATTTGTTAAAGCCATCCACTTCTGTTATTTCTGTTATAACAACGCTAAATAACTAAGATACACTGTGACAAAAGCTTTTTAGAATTTGGTTGAACACATCCACTTTTCTTACGCATATTTCTGGGTATGAAATTATTTTCCAGGTTCATGTACAAGTTTCTAAAGTGAAGATCCAAGTTACTGGAATTCCTGATGGATTGCCTGAAGATCAGATGAGAGACAAGTTAGAGCTAAGCTTTTCTAAGTCCCGAAATGGAGGTGGAGAGGTGGAATGTGTGGAGTATGACAGTACATCCCGAAGTGCTATTATCACATTTGTGGAACTTGGAGGTACTCACATATTTAGAAAGTTAACAAATACTCAACCATTTAATTATATTCTGCTGTTTCTGATGGTATTCCTATCCTGTTTTTTTTATTTGAAATTTGTTCTCTAAAACTCTGACTCACTGCTGTCAAGTTGGGTCCGACTCAGCAACCCCTCCTTGGGTTTCTGAGGCAGTATCACTACGGAAGTTGTTGTTGTTGTCGAGTCGGACCCGATTCATAGCGACCGCTCCTTGGGTTTCTGAGGCAGTATCACTACGGAAGTTGTTGTTGTTGTCGAGTCGGACCCGATTCATAGCGACCGCTCCTTGGGTTTCTGAGGCAATATCATTACGAAAGTAGATTGCCCAACCTTCCTTCCAAGGAGTGGCTGGTGGGTTTGAACTGCCAGCCTTCTGGTTAGCAGTCAAGTGCCTTAGGCACTGTGCTACCAGAACTCCTACTACGGAAGTAGATTGCCCAATCTTCCTTCTGAGGAGTGGCTGGTGCTTTTGAACCACTAGCCTTCTGGCTAGCAGTCAGATATAATAACTGGGGATTTTTTTTTTAACCATATGAAGTGATAGTCCTGAAAATGATTTCCATGAATGCTCCCGAGAATAATACCATTACTACAAATATCAAATACATAAATTTTACTGAATTCTTATCATGTGTCAGACATGGTGCTAGGCATTCTACACACGTTATCTCTACTGATCCTCAGCACAACTCTGGGATGTAGGTGTTATTTTCATTTTACTGATGAGAAAACTGAGGCTTAATAGGTTAAGTAACTACCACTGTGTGTGTAGAGCCATTGCACAAGTCTGCTCACTCTGACCCCTTTATTTGTGACAGTGGCATATTAGTAATTATCGCAGTCTGTGCTATTTTGTTTTTCCAAATAGAGACATTTGTGTTTTTGAATAAATGGCTAGTGCCTTTTACCCATCCTGGGGAATGAGATAGTTTATTGAGTATAGATTTTAAATTATACCTGGATTTTTAACATGTCAGGTTATCTAGTCTGTTAGAAAAGAATTCTTTGGTGGCTCATATACTTTTATTTCTGATAGGCAGAAACAGTGTAAGTTCAGTTACATAGAAAATAGCAGATTGGGACTTCCAGTAAGATGGAGGAATAGGCAGACAAATGACACAGACCCTCTTCAACAAAGAAAAGAGAAACCAATTGACAGAGGTACAGAGGATAATCCTGGAGCCCTGAGCTTTGAAAGGAACTATACAGAAGTGGATTAGGCACAACCTAGTGGAAAGACCTGAACGAAAACAGTGAGTACAGAGATGGTCGAAGCTGTGGATTATCAGCCACTCTGATGGGACCAATAACCTGAATGTTTCCAAGTGGTTTGGGACCTGAGGATTGACCTAAAGATCAGCCCTGGTCACTAACGGCTGCAGGGACAGCTGTACTGGTGACCTATGACTAGGAAGGGAAACAGCAAGGACAGAGAGAACCTGAACTGTTGACTTTCCACTGTCCGGAGGGTGCAGCCATTTTGGATATTTAAAGTGACCAAGGGTGCAGCCATCTTGAATGTTTATAAGTGGTGGCCATTCTGGATATTTAAAGTGACCAAGGGCACAGCCATTTTGAATGTTTACAAGCAGCAGCCATTTTGGATATTTAAAGTGACCGAGGGTGCAGCCATTTTGAATCTGTACAAGTGGCAACCAGTTTGGATTTTAAAGTGATAACATTCTCATTTGGATTCCGGGGACCTAAGAATAGGCTTTGTTTCCCAAGGTTGGCAGGGACATACAAGAGGCTGACAACAGGAAAGGAGACAGGTGGTGAGCTAGTGCTGTCAACTAGTGAATAGAGGAGCACAGTACCCTGCTTGCATAGATAACATACAAAGAAAACAAAAATCGTGGGCAAGTCACTCCAACATACAATTACCAATTAAACATAGACACAAATATATCACAATGCCTTGGAGACAACAGAACATCACAATCCACACAAAGAAGCAAGATAAAGCAGGAGAAACAAGGAACCAGGATACAGACCCAAAACATACCCCTGAGGAAGACAAAGCACTGGAACTCTCTGGTAAGGAATTCAAAAGAATTATATTTAGGTATCTTCAACAAATTGAGAGACAGATCAAGGAAAACACAGAGAAAACCCTAGAACAATTTCAAAAGACAATACAAGAACAAAATGACAAAATAAATGAAAAATTAGAAATGATACAAAATCTATACACAGAAATCCAGAAGATTAGT